GGGGGGGGATGAGGAGGAGGTGGAGGACGAAGGGAAGCAAACTCACCTGGCGCGGGCGGGCGATGGCGGTTGCGGCCGTCGGGCGTCGGAGTTCGGCAACTGCAACGCCGAACTCCACCGACAGGGCAGGGCGAAGTCACGCTCGAGAGAGGGCCGCAGCTCCTCGGAAGTCGGATTTGAAATCGGCCTCATCTGGGCCGTCGATCTCAAAGATCTGACGGCCCAGATCGGGCCATTTTTGTTTTCGATTTTCGAGGCCTTACCGGCCTCGGGAAAATTTTCCCTTCAGCCCCCCCGCTTCGCCCTTGCCCGCTTCTCACCCTCACGGCGCCCGATTCCCCATGGAAGCGCCCCCCCCAATTTCCCCACCGATCGGACACAGGGCCCCGGGCGGACGACCGACCGGTTGTCCGATTGGACAACCCCGGACGGTCAGGGGGGGTCCGGACATCCGATCGGGTAACATAGAATTTTTTTTTTCAAACTTTTTTTTTTTTTTTTTTTGCATGAAAACACACTTTTGCCTTGGGTTTTTAGGCCCCTTTGATCCATTTTTTTGCTTTTTTAAGTTCTTTTTTTCGCTGTTGGACTGTTGACAAGTCTGGCTTAGAAGGTGTGGGACGTTTGTTATAACGACTCTGAAAAAACCCTGAAAATGTAGGGCTCTGTTAACCTCTTCGTTGAATATTTTGCCGATGTATATTTGATTTCAAAAACTAACTAACGCTATTAGCTTCGGACAGGTGATGTCTCTTGTCGATCGGGCTTTGCGAGGTTGTAGGGGATACAAAGGTGTTCCTTTCCACTGTTCAGGTCTTGATTCTCAAATATTTTGCCAATGCAGGGTTAAAAAATCATATCGCGCCATATATCATGTATCACTGTATCTTTGATTTCAAGACTAATTAAGGGGAGTAGCTTTGGACAGGGGATGTCTTTTGTCGATCGGGCTGGACAAGGTGCTGGGATATACAAAGGTGACCCTTTTGTCCATTGGAAACCGACAAGCATAATTTGTTCAATGCCATGGACGACGGGCCAAAAGCTTTATCAACAGCAACTCAAGCAATAGTCCGCTGAATTGGGCAGGTGAGGGCACTTTAGAAGCGGAATTTCAATGCAAACAAGGTTAATGAAACAGATGCGTGCAAAACAATAAAGGAACGGCTGGCTCTTCAAAAGAAAGAAAGGGAAAATAAAAATGACGTGTGTTCTGCAGTGGCCTTAACCCCCAACTGTTGCCAGCCTACTGGTTGACCGGTCAGCTGGCCGGCAGCCGACCGGCCGGTGGTCGCCGATTGTCACACATGCTACTCTGATCCCTACCGTATTGTAATTGATTGTGATCTCAATTGTGCAAGGCCCACCATATCTGTGTACTTAATCGTGGGATGCGTACACACCCGTTTGCTGTTCAGCACGACTGCACATTACATTTTGTATGTTCCTTTAGTAATTGCTATGATCCTGGTCAGCTTCCAAATCAAAAGCTCACTAAGAGACAATGCCAATCCATTGCAACTCAGGTGAAAGAGAATGGAAGAAGAGTGAGACAAGGAGGAAGAAGAATGAAGAATAGAAGAAGAAGAGGCTAAACAGAAGCTGGAACGGATGTCATATCTCCCTCATCTCGCCTCCGTCATCCTCCCCTCCACCATCATCTTATTATAAATAACAAACAACAAGAGTGAATGAAAGAGCCAGAATTGAATGTCCGATGACTGTCCTGCCCGGCTAGAAACATGGCTCTCCTCTCGACCAGAATTCATTTTCTAGTCCGCTGGCATTACAAGACAGAGTTACGGAGTAAGGTGAATGTACTCCGATGGTGTTCTTCTTTGGTCGTTGTATTTTGTTGTTCAGGAAGAGATCAAAAGAGGAAAGAGAGCTATGGCAGAGGGCACGAGTTTTTGCGAGGTTTCACAGTCAAGAGGAGCACGAGGCTTTGTTGAATGGACTCACAGCGGAGAGGCGAATTCGTCAAAGAATAGAAGAGCTCCAGGTGAGGGTCACAGCATGTCTTCCAGAATCTCTCTCTCTCTCTCTCTCTCTCTCTCTCTCTCTCTCTCTCTCTCTCTCTCTCTCTCTCTCTCTNTCTCTCTCTCTCTCTCTCTCTCTCTCTCTCTCTCTCTCTCTCTCTCTCTCTCTCTCTCTCTCTCTCTCTCTCTCTCTCTCTCTCTCGTGATCAGAACTTGCCATAGTGTAAGCACGAGTCCTGGTCAATATATGGAACTTTTTCCTCACAGAAATCTTGGTTGGGAGCAGAGGAGGAATAGGGATGTGCAAGGAAAGTGAGCGATAGCGAACTCCAGAAACCAAGCAGCATCATACACATGTAACCAGATAGTCGTGACCTCGAACAAAAAGCAGAATTGCAACACGAGTTCCACCAAATAAGAGCACAGCAAAAGCTCATAAGTGACAATGTTGATATAGTCTCATCGTCATCAACAAAGAACCAATGTCGACATCCAATCTGGCGCCCTGCGCGCAGACTACAAATGGCAGATCCTATCTAGATTATCTACAATGCCGCTGGTGAAGTCAACAGCTCCCCGAAGTACGAGCAGATCTCGGCGAATGCCGTTCGCCTCAAGCACCAGGTATGTCTCTCATATCACTCACAACCTCGATCCCCCACTCACAGATGCCACATGCACCCGAAGACCACCATGCGCCCCATCCAGCATAGTGCAGCGCAGCTTGGCTATGGCTGCCTGCTCATCCAGCTCGCCCGTGAGCGCGTGGGCCTGGCCAGCGATCAGTGCAGCAGCGCTTGCACAGCATGCAGCCAGTGCCCGAATGCCAAATGCGAGGGCAGGCACTTTCCTAAATGGAAGTGGCCTGCCTGCTGCGTGTGGCCTGGCTGCGCTGAGCCGCTGTCCAGAAGCTTCCGGTAGGCCCCGAGAGGCTGAGCCCCGGTCCAAACGAATCAGGCCCAGGGCCTGAGACGGTTGCCTGTGCCCAACTGCCCGCAGCCTGTGTTTGGCCCATATTGTGTATCTGGTCCAGGGTCCGCTTCGGTTACGTACGAGGAAGGCAGCCAGGGCCTGGGCGCTCTCAACCAACTGGCGCTGCGCAACTGCCTGAATTTCCCCAGTTGCGTGGTAGCCGAAAAATAGGCCTCCTGGCCTTGGTCGGGCCTGCCTTCACTTAGGGCGGCCGACAGTGCTTCTTACAGGGTGGAAAGGGGCTCATCAGGCCCGTATGCCTCGCAGATGTGTCCTCCAGGACATCCGTTAAAATTGGAATGATACAGAGAAGATTAGCATGCCCCCTGTGCAATGAATTGCAGTTGCTCACGCGGGCTGTCCACTAAGTTTGTCTGCTGTTCCCCTGGTCTGAGCCCTGCGGGACTTGATCCGGTGGCCTACAGCTATTTACTAGCTGTGAGTCCTACTGGGCTTGACCGGTGAAACTGTCGCCAGTAGCCTCTATTTGGCAGTCTTGGGCCCTTCAGCCTTGCTTTTTTGTCCTTTTCTGGTCTTCTGGAAACTGGTAGGCGCGTAGGTCACCCTTGTGTGTGTCCTAGTCTTGGTTCCCCTTAGTCTAGGTTTCCATCTAGATGCAGATAGGCAGATCTTGACTGTTTGGCCGTAGATGTGTGCTGTTTGGACGGTCAGATAGGTCCGTAGGTGACTGCTGTGTTGTAGGTCTAGGGAAGTCGGGTAGAAGTGGGCAGAGGCCGACAAGTTTCGGGTTCTTTTCTCTTTTTTTTTTTTGGAAGCGGCGACGACAGTATGTGAGCTGCACCATTTTCAGCGCTCAGTCTTCTTCCTCTTCGAAGAGGGAACTTGGGCAGCCATAGCTGGGGCGCCCTGCTGCTCGAGGAGGCAGCACCTGCAGTAGGTCTTCCAGGTGCTGATGCCACTGCCATCACGGTTGCAGTTTGTGGGGGTTGAAGGACGCTGCTGTTCATCCAGCGGCTTGTTGCTGGTTGCTGCCATACTAGGGCAGCCATCATCTTCTTCATCGATGGTCACCTTCTTCTTCACGGTGGTTTGCAGCGCTGCAACTTGATATCTGGCACATGCCAGATCATCGCCTGTACTAGCAGGCTCGGGGCATGATGGTATGCTGTTTTCAACAGTGGGCTATCATTGGAGGCTGGGGGTCGTAGGGAGAAGGGGAATTTTCACTGCAACTTCGTTGAAGTGTATTGTTGGGTTTAATCGGAGGTGGAACAGATTTCGTGGTTGAGATTCTTGGAGTTGTTCAGTTGAGAGGAGGAGAGCAGGGGGTGTGATAAATACTTGAGTGAAATTTGAAACATTTTTCTCTCAATTTTTATTTCCACTTTTGCCTTCCGCTGTGCAATATCTCTCCATGGCTATGGTGTGACTCTGCTCTCTCCAGTCTGCCTGTCATTGCAGATGTATATGGGAACATTTGAATGCGGTTTTGAGTTGTGAATCAATTGAGCACATAACACCTGTGCAAGGATGACACACATAAATCGAGACACATAAGCTCTGGGTTCAGGTGGCATTCAAACCAAGGTAAGTATGAGCTGTTGTTGTGTTTCATGTTTCTCTGTTTGTGCTGGCTGGATTTGAGCGCGGGACCTAAGAGTACGATCTCTACTTGCTAGCCTAAGGATATAGCACCTCCTGGACTTGTAGAATTGTCTTCTAGACGAGAACCTGGTAGGACGTAGTAGGCCTTGTTGGCAGACAGTTTGACAAAATACCGAGCTGGCAGCAAACTTCAGCTTAGCCTTCATTCGTCCGGTTTTGCAAGGAAGGTGAGATGAGCTCTAGTATTTTTAGTTCTCTGAGGAGAGTGTCTGGGTGCAGCCATAGCCAACTTGAACTGGCTGTATACTCCAATGATTTGAAGGGCTGTTTGCTGCAAACTGCTCAGCAAGGCGCCCATGTGGACATGATTGTTTGTTGTATTCATGTTGTGTTCAATACCATTCATCAATTATTCTGGTGTGAAGCTTCTATTCCAGGTTCTCTGAAGCTCCTATCAAGTGTGATTTGCTTCCAATAAAGTTTGTACAAGTGATGAAAGCTTGAATTGAGCTGAGCCATTTTACTATGGGCTGAGCGATTGGGTCTGTCAGACCACCATGGCAGCAGAGGTCCCACAACAGCAAGAGACACATAATCAACTGCCTCCGCAAGTTGGCAACTACCTACATCATGACATGAACGTGTTGCAACTTGTGTTGCAAGGTTTTGGAAAGTCGTATCTTCATGAATGAAAGGACGAGGAGGCGTGGAAGTTGGTGGTTGAGGAAGTCTGTCGAAAGCGTGTGATCACAAGGCAGCGTGTTTGGGAGGAAGCATGTACGTATGAGCTCTTACCACCACCAGAAACAAAGAGGGTCCCAGAAGAGAAGTCCAAGATGGAAGATTGCTACCTTAGAGAAGAGGAAGGGAGGCCACGGCAAAGGAGGAGGAGAACGACGCAAGAAGGGAAGAAGGGCTTAACTGAGTTAAACCACCAGTACCTAGAGCTACTTTCTTTCCTACCCTCAGGCGGCCGATGTGCCGAGCCTGGCGAGCCTGGGGTTACCGGTAGCAGGGTAGAGCCTGCAAGAACCATAAGCCAGAAAAAATAAGGAAAAGAAAAAAAAAGGCATCCACCCCTGAGGACGTGATTGCAGATGGATACACTTTCCCAACTACTAGTGTGAGCATGCCGTCAATGACCTCCTCTCAGCCCCGTATCCTTGTTGTCAGAGAGAAAAAAAAAACTGAAGGAAGACAGAAAACGAAACAGCGTCCCTTTGGCCCTGAAAATGGTTCTATTCATTATTCAAAGAGAGAGATGATCGCGGAACTTCCCTGCCTACCTGGCTGGGAACTATAAGATAACGAAAAGAACCAAATAAAAGAAAAAAACAACATTGTGGATCGTCCTGCGCAGTACGGCTAGATTCATTCACCAATGCAATCTTGGAAGAGGCAAAAGATCCGTGAACCACCCTGCCTCGCTGGCGGGGGGCAACAGAGAAACGAAAAGAACAAAATAATAATAATAATAACAATAATAATAATAATAATAATAATAATAATAATAATAATAATAATAATAATTCGATGGCTGTGCCGGCAACCGGCCGGTTGGACCGGGCCGGATCCAACCGGAATTCCGGTTGGGCCCAAACGTGGGTCAATTTTTTTTTTTTTTGAAAACATGGTTGGACTGCGCTCACCGAGATCTCCCCCGAATCCGCACAGAAAACTTTGAACAGAGAAGTTTCATTTGGGGACTTGGGGGGATTGGGGGGTCTATGGTGAGGGTGTTAGTGTTGGGGTTTCAGCAAGCACGGGCTTCAGCAGACATTGACAACAACGTACCTGGCTTTCTGCAAACGTTAACCTTCCGCCCAAAACTTTGAAAAGGGGGCTAGTGGCATGGTAGGGACGGTACTTCCCACCCAGAAACTTTGAAAAGGGGGGTTGGGGTTATAGTGTTAGGGGGTGTTTGTCACTGCCGTCTGGTCCAAGTTGCCCTCGATACTGGTAGGGTGATGGTCCTGAGTGCTGGTCACACTGAGGTAGGATAGTAGGGATAGGGGTTGCGCTGGGAGCATTAACGTGCGGAAGGGTAGGGAAGGTGGCCTATCCTGTCAGGACAACCACCAGTGATGACCGTGGGTCTAGTCCTTGGCCTCAACGACACCCTGGGCTTAAAAAAAAAAAAAAAAACATGCGCTATGGCCAACCGGGGGGGTAACCGGCCCGGTCGACCGGCCAGTAGGGCCGGTCCAGTTCCGGTTGGGGGAGGGCCTCCCGGTCCTACCGGGTTTGCAGCTCTGAATAATTCTGAATATTCGAGTATATCACAGTTAGATCATACTTGCAACCGCACGAGCCCACATTCGTGCGGAGTTCTGTGCGGGGGGTGCCTGTGCGGAATCGTGCAGGTTTTTTTTTTTATTATTATTATTATTTTACCTTTTTTGGGGAGGGGGAACGGGGGGGCGTATGACATGAAGATGGGGATATGGCGAGGAGAGGGGGATATGGAGAGAGGAGGAGGATGTGGACAGGGGGACGACGAGGATAGCGAGGACGACGAGGAGTCGTCGAGATGGGGGAAGATGGACGGAGGGAAAAGAGGAAGGGCAGGAGGAGAAGGGAGGAGGAGACATGCAGGATGAGGAAGGGGAGGAGGAGCAAGGTGAGGCAGTACTCCTGTAATTTTTTTTTTCATCTCGCTTATAATTTTGGTGGGGGCCCTCAAACGCACCGTTTCAACCCTGGCCTTTTTTTTTTATTTTTCTGAGGGGGGTGACGGGTCGTTCCCCGCATATGTCGTGCGCCGCACGGGATCGGTTGGGCGTGTGCGCCGCACGTAGGGAACCGCCCGCATGACGTGCGCTTGCAAGTATGAGTTAGATTCATTCTGGACGGGAGGTACTAGTAGCACGGTTTATGCTACAACCTTACCCAACATCATCGAAGTTCCTTTTTGTGTCCTTTTTTTTTTTAAGTCCATTTTGCTCAATGTTGCTGCGACCGGTTGTGCACTCGCCTGACCTCCGTCCGATGCGGCCATAAACTCGCCGCGTCGGGAAAAGAACGGCTGGGCGAGGTACTGGTGGTTTAAGAGGGTTGGCAATGAAACAAGTGGCAATGTGAGTAACAAGTTGGCATCGCCATCAACACTGTGATCCGCTCATATGGTTGAGATGGCTGCAATTATGGATAAGATGGATGACCTGACGGCAATGAAGGGTACAGTGGCCTCCATCAACAGCAAACTGATCGCGTTCCCTGTGGCAGTGTGTTATGAACTTGGTTGTCTGACGATTTTTACGGCCACTAACACACAGACAGTCTCATACACGCCCATACATGCGTAAGAGAAGGGGGAGAGGAGACAGTCCAAACTGCACACAGATCAGAGTAGGCAGTGGAAGTTCAACCATGCACAGACGGGGAGAAGACACTCCGTGTTTCTCACTCTTTGACAAACTCCCAACAACCAATCACATGAAGACACCTGCGAGGATACCAATCGGAATTCACACTGATGATGAGTCACAGCTTAAACCAAATATCGTTGCAGAGTTTGTTCCAATATCTCGCCACTCTCAGAACTCCACACCTCACTCTCCACCCTACACCCAGTTAGTAGCGCCACACCAAAATGGCCTCCCAGAGGCCAGCGCCAACCACCCAGATGAAGAACAGATCCTGTGATGAAGTCTTCAATGCCGATGGACAACTCTGACGAAGAAACAGGCAGCTATGGCTGCCACCACCCATGAACACTCGGTGAAGAGCCTCAATATAGCCTGGCCAGACGCAGATACCCCCAGGGTAGATGCGTTGAGGATGTCCCAGCTCTGACAACCTTCAGAAGGTCGGCTATGGCTGCCGTCCTCGGCGAGGGTCTCAGGATGCCGCCTGTAGACAATCACCACCGCCCACTTGCTTGGCTCCTCCAAACGCTGCTTCGCAAAAAGTCCTGAATCGATTTTCCTCAACCATTAATAATTTAATAGATCTACACTACCCTAACCTAGACCTAGACCCGACTGACTGGACCGACCGGTACCGTTCCAGTTTCGGCCTCTCGGCCTCTCCCTACCCGGCTATAGGCTATAGGACCGTCTATCGGTATAGGCCCTTCGGGCCTATCCGTCCTAGGGGTAGCCCGGGCCTGCTATACGCAGTGGGGGTAGCTGTAGGAAATTTGAGTTAGCGCTGGGCCTATATTTCCCATATTTGCAGATATGTCCCTCATGAATTTTCCGTACAGGTAGGTCTCTCGGTTAGCCCTCTGCCAAACAAAATTACTAATCTACCCTACCGCTGTTGCTGTACAGCCTCGCAGTCAGTCTCGGCAGTCAAAATCAGCAATTCATTGCAAGTGAGTGGTGGACCAAGCTCCCTGCACGACAAAGTGCCTTCCTCTTCAAAAGGGATGGACACCCATACCATTAGAGTGGAAGGTGACACACCGTCCTCCTCCAAGCCGGAGTTGTATCTGCCACCCAAGTTCAAGGGTGAGAGGGATGAGGACGTTAACGGACATGTTATGTACCCGATTTAACTTCAATCCACAACGAATTCACACATTCCCATACACGCATGCAATTACAGAGTAGACTCGAAGGAGGCAAATCCACACAAAACCGGAGAGAAGATATGCACAGCGGAAGCTCAAAACACACAGAGAATTGAAAAACGAATTTCAATTCTGCAATTCCTCGTCCTCCTCCAATCAATCCAGAGTACTTGTTTCAAGAATCACAACCGCATTTACAACAACTCCGAACAACCAGAAACAAGTGTTCAACGAAGTATGCAGGGGTCTTCTTCTTCCTCCTCGCCACCTCCTATCTCTGGCTATGGCTGCGGTAGCAGCAGTAACCCCACAGCTGCCTCAACGTGCCAATCTGAACCAGCAACCCTAATGATAACAGCGCCAGCTCAGCACCCACACGGAAGTGCAGTGCTGGAAGTGCTGATGAAGAAGGAGACAACCGATCCAGCACTTCGAAGAAGACAAAGTTCCTCGAGAGGAGGAACAGCAGATATGGCTGCCAAGTGGAAGATGGCAGCACCCAAACCCAACAACACAGTCCTGTGGAAGCTCTCATGCAGAGCTGCGAAATAGCAGCAGTGCGATCTTCAACTTCGTTTCCCAACCCCAGTTATGGCTGGGCTTCGAGGAAGAAGATGACCTCGCCCAAAATAGAGCAGCAGCGCTCCAGCAACGGACGGACAGAGTTTCCCCAGCCAACAAAAAACGTGAAAAGACCAAAACCCAAATTCCCTGTCCGCTACTTCTACCCTCTGCCTAGACCTAAAACGGACTCCAAAGGCATCAACCCAATACTCATCTGCATCTAGATGGAAACAGGGGGAAAGGGAACCTAGACCTATGACAAGGCAAAAGGAAAAGGCAGAATGACCTAAGGCTACCAAACAGAGGCTACTAGCGACAGACTCAGGGATCAAGTCCCATAGGGTGCAGCACTCACAAACATAACAAACGAGTTACAGGTCACGGGATCAAGTCCCGCAAGGCTCAAAACAAGAAAACAAACTACAAAGCCAAACACTTAGTGTACAGCCCCACTGGGAAACTGCGATTTATTGCATTCTTACCCTCCAGGGGAGCGAGGACCCACGATCTTCATAACCAACTACGAGCCATATTGGCGGAGAGGTATTAGCTAGAGGATCGCTAAACATCCATAGTGGTGGAGAACGCAAAGACCTCAGAATTTCATAGGGTTATGGTGAGATTATCAGATTAGATTGATTAGTTGAATGCGAGGGTATTAGCCAGGTAATCAACTTCTACAGTCTTGCCCCGAACACAACACACTTTCGTTAATTACGAATAGAACGCACGGGGTGCATTCTATTCAAATATAACGCACGTGCGTTATGCTACGGATACAGGGTACCAACTTTCGAAAAATGGGGCCCCAAAAAAATTAGTACCCTGAACCCGTACTTATCCTTCTGGATTAGCATGGCCTCTGAGCAAGGATGGCAAACATAAATTGAGAAATAGTCCACATGTAAAAAGAAAAAAGAAACTAAAAAAGAAAAAAACACAACAGCCCGTCAAGAAACCAGGCGGGAGCAATAGAGAGGGAGTGAGCAGGCGGGAGCTAGCAGGCGGGAGCGATAGGGTGGTTGTGTGTGTGTGTGTGTGTGTGTGTGTGTGTGTGTGTGTGTGTGTGTGTGTGTGTGTGTGTGTGTGTGAGAG